GGTCTGGGTCAAAGGCCCGGTCCCACCCAGTCCGGGTACTGGGTCGGTCAGACCGGTCCCGGGCCACCCCTAATTGGGGGCAGAGTAACATTGACGTACAATAAAAAAAATATTTTATAAAATATATTTGAATAGCAAAAACTTCTAATAAAGTATGTGAAAAATTTCAACTAATAAAGTATATTACATTATAAAAAACTAAAAAAGTAAATCGCAACTGCTCTCTTCGAGTTTTCGTCTTTTTAAAGAGATCTATTATAATTTGATTTGTGACAGATTCAAATACAGATCTTTCTATAAATCAAACAAGATAGTTACTCAGAAACTGATAACCAATTCTTGAGGAGTAGAAATATTATTGAGAAGTATTATTAAAAAATAGTCCATAAAATCTGATAAACAATGTAATTATTTTTTTGATAACTAATGTATTCTTTTGTCTCTTTATATATCTTAAATCTTCTGCCAGAGTGGTAGCCATGTAAAATTTATCTTTTATATGGGTTTCTTAATTCTTAAATAAAAAAATTATAGCTAGTTGTAAATTTTAGATTGTTAATTCTAACTTGTTAAAGTTAGTAAGTTACTGTACTAACACTCTTATAAATTAGGATAAATTATACTACATACTCCGTATTGTTTATTTATTACTCCTTATATCTAAACATCATCTAAAATACATTATAACACTTTATTTGATGAAACTATGAAAGCTCAAATGTACACGGAGTATATTTTGGCATCTGGGCACTATCGCTTCATTGGGTTCTTTTATTGTGGCTGACTCGAGTTCGGTGGGAAGGTTTGTGGGGGGGGGGGGCATTTGTTTTTTGTATTGGGGGCCATCATCTGAATTTAAAATTTTCCTTATATATTTTAAGTAATTATTGACATTTTATTGGGGGTAGCTGCCCCCCTTATACAAGCTTTAGATCCGCCCCTGGTATAACCGTATATATGATGCCGGCAAAATAGTACTCCGTAAATGTTTGTTCATTTTTGAAGAGTCAGCATGTTGAACATGCTTTCTAATATTCGAAATTGGGTTTGAAAGTGTCGATTCCACATAGACTTAACATGGCACATCAAAGAAGGTATTGGAGATCAAAAATCTATCACACTTTCTAAATTCAATTATGTGGCAAATTTCCGTTCCGTCAAAAGTGAGGGTTGGAGATGCTCTTAGTATGAGATACACCCCAAAGTCGTTTGATAGCATTCCATTTTGAAACCAGATAGTACAATACCATGTTGAAACCATTCCAATAATTGAAAATATCTAAATACTTGTACAGATGATTTTTTAATTAAAATTAATAGACTTTCATGATAACCAAAATGTAAAAATATAGTTATAGTAAGTCCAAAAAATTGAAACATAAGATGCAAAATTACTAAATTCTTGCAAGTCTACCTTATAAATTGAAACAAACAAATAATTTAAATTACTCCGTATAAATTACTTCTGAATGGTTACTAGTTAGTATTTGTTTAGTAAGTTCAGTTAAAATTTTGTATGTTAGTAACTGATAAGACAAAAACTAATGATAAATAGAAAAACTCTAGTATACAAAAAATTGGATATAGATGAGCTAAGGTACATACTACAAGATTTGTATTTCTAAAAAAAATGAAAAGTTATACTTCGAGATAAATTTGGTACCGATACTTTCCCAGTACCATGCCTATTGGGCTAGTGGGGTTTTTACCCCCCCCCCCCCAATATATACTCATCATACTTCAGAGTATTTTGGCCACAACTTGTAGAATGATCCAAAATCCAATTCCATTAAATCCAACCGTATAAAATTGAGACAAACGGTCTGTGTTGTTTTAAACAGATGTGTTATTATTATTACTCAGTATTGCACTATTGCCCTTTATACGATTAGCGGATTTGGAAGAAACAATGACTTCTCAGCAATTTTGTTACAAATGTCTCAAGGCGTAGTCTCTAGACGAAATGGTTGATTCAAATGAACTGAACAGAAATGTGACAGATTTGAAGCACACAATCAAGTATGTTGCTGCCCACTACCATCCATTTTGTCTAGAAATGTACGGTCAAGTTTGTTCATGAATGTTGTAATCTGCAGCGCCATCATTTAAGGGGCAGTTAGACCTTCATTTCTGAGTTCTCTAATGCAGCAGCGGCCTTCAATGACCTCCGCCTGCTCTGAATTTGGTTTACAAACTCCACGAGTATGACCTGAAATTTTGGAGTGATCTTACTGGCTGAAGATACATTTAGGCCCGCCTTCTTCAAAGCCCGTGTGGCATGTTTGTCAGCCCTCTCCATATGGGGAGAGCAAAGAGAAGGAACCACAGATCTCAAAACTGGCTTCCCACAGAGTATGGGCCCTGTTGGAGAACTGCAAACACATAAAGCATACAAATGTCGTTTAAAACACCAGAAGTTAAATAATTCCAAGGGGAAAATTCATAGATATGACGAAAAGTCTAAAACTTAATAGCAAAAATGACTAGAATAGCACTCCTGCAATTTCCAAAGCCATAAATATGGCTGGGGATGAGTGTGGATGACTATAAAAAAGGACTGGAATAGTTCCTCTTTTGTTCTTTCTCGTCTCTTTCTCTCAGATGACTGGGAATGAATGTGGATGAGAATCAACGGTTGAAAACTGTCTCACCTTGAGCACAGGTGATCATTGGCTATGAGTGGGCTATGGCATGGGAGAGTTTGGGGCAGGGAGTTACAGTGGCAGGGGAGGGGTTGGGGCAATGGTCGTGCATCGGCGGAGCAGTGGGGTCACTCAGAGCGATGGGGACAGCGGGGCCATTGGGTGTCAGGGGAAGGATGGTCACTGGGGTGTCGTGGGTGGTGCGGTCACTCATGTGTCAGTGATAGTGGGGTCATTGGGAGCCAGGGTGGCCACTGGGGTGCTGGAGTGGTTGGGTGACTGGTGGGACGGGGGAAGTGGGCCATTGGTGGGTAAGAGGCAGAAGGGTTAGGTCACTGCGGCGCCACGCCGGGCAGTGTGGTCACGCATTTACCGGGGGTGGTGGGGTCATTTGTTGGGGTGCAGGAGGTTTGCATGCCACTTGCGTGGTGTAGGTGTATAAGTCATTTTTAGAAGACAGTGAAACTGGGTTGCTGGCGCCGGTGTCACTATCACTTACTCTCGTTTGTCGACGATGTCACTGTCACTTGGGTGTAACTAGGCGGATGTCACAGACGCTTGGGAGGGGCAATTTAGTACAATGGATTTATGAGTTTCCAATTCTAGAACATATTTAGTCACTTTTTGTAAACTCAAAATATTGTCTCTTTTCTATCCAAAGCCAACACTTTAATATTAGTGGAAAGCCCCAACTTATTACATTCTTCAATTATGAGAATGTGGAAACGGTATATACAGCATCCTATAAGAGTTTGGTGAGGGTGAAACTAGATTTTCTGGGCTATGTTTTAATAGGGGGGCCAACGCTCAAGTACAAACATACCATAGAACTAGCAATCTATTGTTAAATACTTAAACGTATACACTTGGTTTCAACATTTTGGCAGTAGATGGTAACACTAAAAGAAATGATGAAATTTAGCAGTTTGGGCAAAAGGTTACAACTTTTGGCTCAAGAACACTTTTGATTAATTGTTGTCATGCATGCATGTGGACAGTTATAGGCCTCATTTAACTAGTTCTGCTCAAGAGTTTATCAGAGGATTCAATAATTTAGTTACCTGAATTCTACAAGGTTTAAGGCAGATATATGCAGTTGCATATAATGTGAAAAGTCCCCCTTCCCTCCCCCTTCTACTAGTGGTTATTCAGGAGAAATTCTAAAAAGCATTCATTTTGCAGTGTGATATTTAAAACCAGAAATGGTGGTAGCACATCAGCACATGTTTGTGAGAACAGCAAACATGAACACAGCACTGAAGCAGAAATATCTAGGGGGTGACTTTTTCACAGAGTTCAATATAACAAGTTCCTTTCTTTTTTGGGTTTTATTCTTGCCTATGACTCTATGAGTTTAAGGATATGATGATTATCAAAACTATCTGACCATCTCCACCATCATGCTTCAACAAAAAACTTGCATGTTTACCCTTCTTAATGCTGCAAATATACTAGATTAAAAGAATATAAATTCAAAAATCATATGGAATCGCATTCATGCCTCTCCAAAAAAAGACAACTCTTATTAACAAAATTTGATATTTCGAAATAGATACCACGTATTAACTTATGAAGAAAGCGAACAAAAAGTCCTAACCTTTTGATCACATAATTGCAAGCCTTGTAGAGCTTCTGCTTGGGATCTGATAGGATGTGCGCATGACAGAACCTCGTCATAGCCATGGCCTTCGTTTTGCAAGTGCTTGCCCCACACCTATTACTAACATTGCTGCTGGCAATTAGGTTGTTGCGGTTAGGGTTTTCCCCATTACCCAAGGCGGAATCAACGCGGTTCCCGTTGGAGATGTTATTCTCCTCATTGTCTTCTTGGAAAGGGCTTTTTCCGTACTCCCAATAATACTCTCTATACTTAATCTTCAACTCCTCCATCAAAGCCCAGTAGTATTCCCGATATATCCGGGCGAGCTGCTTGACCCTACGAGAGCGCCGCCGCAAAACTTCGGCCCGATGCAGAAAATTGGAGCGGGCCAGAACCGCATCTTCCTCGAACCCGTCGATTAGAATCGGCGACGAGGAAGTGGAAGCAATAATTGGGTCGGGCATGCCGGAATCCACAGAGGATGGGTGCCCGTCACCGGCTCTGCTGTAATTGATGGGATTTTTCAGTTCAACTTTAGGGTTGAGGTTGCGACAGTGATTCAAACTGCGCTGACTGGAAAGAGATAGAGGAGGGGGCGGCTGCGTCGTTTTGGAGGGGGCGGCGGTGATGGCTGGCGAGGAAGCAGTGGGCATCTTCTCTCTAGTTTTGGATCAGTGATTGCTAAAAAAAAAAAATTAGGGCAAGTGGGTAATTACCAAAAATATTCCAGAAAAAAAGATGACACCCGGAGGCCCCAGCACGGCAGCACCCGCGGAAAAAAAGGTCCGACTTTAGCACTTTCGAAAATACTCCTATTATACTAAGGGTCTGTTTGCAACAGCTTCTGCTTTTAAAAAAGTGTTTTTTTAATGAAATGAGGAGAAGTGATTAAATAAAAGTTGATGGTGTTTGAGAAAAAAGTGATTTTGAAAAGTAAAAGTGGGTAATGTTTGGTAAAATAAGTGCTTTTTGTGTAATAGAAAAAGTAAAAGCACTTTTGACGCGGAAGCCGAGAAAAATAAAAGTTGTAGTGTTTGGGAAAATAAGTGCTTTTTTAAAGTCAAAAGCTGGGAAGTACTTTTTTTAAAAGTAGTTGCAAACCAACCCTAACTAACCTCTCGTTCCAATTGTTCCATTCTCTTCAAGCTTGAATTATATTGTATACGTAGTACTCCGTATATTATTTTTGCTAATTCGATTCTTGCCAAAAAATATATATTTGATATATTAATATACTAGTATCTTTACATGTATCGTGTACGGAATGAAATGATTTTTTTAATTTTACTATATGTGTGTGCGCATTGGCAAATGTATGAATTATTATAATTAAAAAAAATCGTTTATTTAATTGATTATAACAATGGTTGATAATGCATGTATCTTATTTTCAATCTAATTATCTAAAAAATGTTCTCATCCTATATTTAATTTTCCAATTAAAAGAGTCATCTTTTTATAACTCTCAATTGCTTTCAAATAAAATTATTTTTTCAACCATCTTATCTAAATTAAAAAAAATGATCACGGGTGATCGTTTTTAGGGCGTAGTGAGGATCGAAGCTCGGAGTGAGCTTAAAATTTTTCAGATAAGTTTTACACACAAATTTTTACACTAAACGTACAAAGAACTTAAAATTTTGGGGTAGGCCGTGGGCCCGTGGGCCCGTGGCCCGGTTGCCCCCTGCATCCGCCCTTGAATGATTTTGTTTTAGTTTTACTATATATGTTTGTGCGTGCGAACTGATGTATGAATTATTAGAACTAACAGAAAGTCTCTTATTTAGTCGATTATAACATTGGTTGATAATGTATATTCTTATTTATTGAGTATTTTTTATTTTTTTACTAATTATTTAAACATGTTCTCAGTCTATATTATCCAATATTTAAAAAAGACAAATTTTTATAACTCTTGTATGTGGTGAACGCAAGAATCTTTAAAAGAATTCCCCTCCGTACATGATTTATTTCCAAGTTGATTGATATGAAAAATAATTATGTAAAAACCATATAATTAAAATTTGTTAAGAGGAGACAGAAATAATAGGAACCATAAATTAATTGATTAAAATGATATTAACAAAAACTTTTGAACAACCAAAAATCACTTTCTTAACATAGTATATATTACACCAACTTTTACCAAATCTCCAACATCTCCATTTTGAAGCAATGGAGTGTCAATACACCAGCCTAAATCGGCTATTGAATGCGATAATAGTATTAGTAGATCGACTTAAGTGTATTATTAGACTTTGAAATCTACTACTCCTTCCGTCTAAACTAAAGGTTCACAATTTCATTTTTTAGTTATCCTAATAAATGTTCTCATTCTTATTTTAGAAAATAATTAGCACTTTTAATTTGTATAGTAATTTAATCATCAAAGTATTAAAAAAATACATCTTTAACACCACAGTTATATTCGATGGCCCTATTATATTATACAGTCATCAAAACTATTTCGTAATGCATACTTGAATTATCGGTTAAGAAAAATAAGGACTAATATCTTCAAAAAAAAAGTTGACTACATCCATTTTAATATAAATGTTAAGAAAGTAGGCAAAAGTTGCAAATGCTCTTTTCATTAGTAAATTTGTGTAAGTTTTGTTAAAAAAAAGACACGGATGAACTTTAATGTATAGATAGTTGAAAAAAAGACACGAAAGAAAGTAGGCATTGAGCATTTTCATTTTTTTGTTTAGGTAGAGATAGTTGAGACACCTTTGCCCGGACGCCATAAAGCTGCCATAAGGTCCCTGAAGAACGGAAATCGAACAACTTTGTCCGTAAGAATCGTCCCAACAACCGGGAACTCCTCTGGCTTTACTGTCTCGGCCGCCGCTGCCCTGTCTTTATCATCTTCGAGCACCAGTTCGTCCTCAGCCCCACCTATGCCCAACCCCACATACTTATCGGCTAGACAATCCACCGGTTCCTCTTCATGCTCTCGCTCATACCAATCCTTCTCCAATGTCTCGCCATCCATCTTTCTTGTCCTTGCACCCGTTCAAAGCAGGCCCGGTTGTTGAAGACGAGCCCCCTGGATGCTTCGCTGCCTCAGAAGAAAGCGCTGCACGTGTGACAGCGAGAAAAAAAAAACCCTACCTCGAGCACTAGGGAAAGACCACTTCGAAGTGGCTAATGATTTGAAAAATAGAAAAAAAATTGTATTCGTACTTAGAGCCCGTTTGGTAGCACAAAAATCGGCTAATTTGGCTGAAGTGGCCACATTGGCTGATTCTGCTCATTTAAGAAAAATTAAAATATATTTTATTAATAAAATAAAGAAAAAATTATATGTAAAAATAGTTAAAATGGTCGTCTACAGTAACTTCAGCCAAAACAGTCAGAAAAAGTAACTCCAATCTTACTTTTTCTGCTTATTACACAATTCAGCGCGCGAAAGCAAAAATTACGTGTTTGGTGAAAAAGTTGACTGATAAGCCTGATAAGCTGAAAAACAGTGGTTCCAAACGGCCTCTTAATATATACGAAGTACTTCGTATATACAAAGCAATGTACTTCTATATTACTATTGCTGTTAATTCAATATACACTTCGTATTACACAGTGTTACATATTCATGTCTATTGTTTAAAAAGGTACTACCTCCGTCGCATTAGAAGGTTCCCGTCCACTATTAACATGGTCAACTTAAATCATTTTCAATTTTTTACTTTATATATCAAATTTTTATCAAATTTACATTTTTTAATCAGGCTTTATAGCGGTTTTAATGTAGTTTCAGAATATGTAAATTTTATTTATTAAAAATAATTAGAGTATGTCAATTACACCTATTTTTAATTTTATGTACAATTATGTAATTATCAATATAATAAATCATAGATGTTGACCGGGTTTTACCGGCGTTGACCTGCCGGGTTCGGGCTGACCCGAAACCCTATCGTTTGTCCGGGTCACTTTCCGATCTGATTCTTGTAACATAGGTCCCAATCTTAAATGTAAACTTTTTTCTCGAAAATTCTAGAAAAATTCTGAGAGTTCCAATTCCCAGTTCCTTTTGTACTTGTCATTCTAACTCATCAATGAAAACATATTTTTGTACCATATTTAGCTTTCAAATGTCTCAATGTGATTATGCATATTTATCGGTCTATATTTATTTATAGGTTTTTTTGCCTCAAATGGGACTAAATTATTCCTGATATTCCTAAAGAGGACTATCTATAATTTTATTCCCTAAATGGGACTAGATTACCTTTATACCCCTATTTTTATTTCTTTTCCCTTGCGCAACACGGTCCATTCTACTTGCGTGTCTTATCTTTCCTTCCCTGCGCATCTTTTCCATCTGTTGTGGCAAACCTTCTCCAATCGCTGCAAATCTTCTCCTCCTTCAAACATGAATAGCCAAACCCAGAAGTCCAATCAAAGCCATCTCCGCCGCCACTGGAAAGTTCACTGCCGTTGCTCGCCGCCGCAGATCGAGTTTCCTTCTTCAAGGTCCGCCTCTTCTCCGATATTCTCCCTGTCCTTCCCCCTCTTCTCTAGTTCTCTCTTCCCCCTTCTATTAAGTTACATATGCTAATTGAAACTAAAAAAATGCCAGATTAAAGTCTGAAAATGCCATCAAAATGGCATTCGTATTCTTCAAAAAAATTGGTCTATTCTTTAAAAATATCATTAAAATGGAATTCTCGATTTATGTTGGCATTTTGATAAAAATAGTGGCATTTACGCTGATAACAAACAGATCTACAATGGTGGAGGCCATATCTGATAACCGCAGATATCAGATTGACTATGATGGTGGCCGCCTGGCCAGATCTGTTAGGGCAGTGACCGGCAGATGGCAGAAGATAGATTTGGCTAGATCTCCGATGGTGCCAGCCAAATATGCAGCGGTGATAGCAAGATCTGCAATGGCGGTGGTTCGATCTGCAGTGGCGGCCAATTTTGAGGCGGCGGCCATGTCCGACGACCGGCGGTGAGCGACGGCGACCGGCGACGTTCCAGAATTCTGGTTGTCGGCAGTATTATTTCCAGGCTTCACAGGGGTGTTTTTGTCAAATTACAATTAATAACTCCTATTTAAGGAATTTTTATACTTTAGTCCTATTTTGGCAATTAAAGATTGATTTACTCCTATTTAGGTAAATACCTCTTATTTATATCCATCGTCCAGGCTAGTCTTGGCCCGGGTCCAGTCTGACCAGCCCGTGAACCGGGACCAGTTCCAGGCCTAGGACTGGCCCGGGGTGTTAGGGCAGGCCGGGTACAGGTCACCCCATCCTTTTGGAACCGGGCCGGGTCCGGTTCGTTTTTTTTTTTTTTCAATTTTTTTTTTCCCAAGTTGGGCTGGGTGTTTTGGAGGGTTTTGGGGGTGGGGACTGGGGGTGGGGGTGGGGGGGGGGTTAATCAGAAAAGCAATATATATATATATATATATATATATATATATATATATATATATATATATATAGATTTAGGTTCATGTGAGAATATCATCTTAGGAGAGGAAAAAAGAATCATCTTGAGCCATTGGATTGAAGCATTATGAACAATAATTAATTAATCCGTATAAGGTTAGATGTGTCATTTTGGATCTTTCCTTATATGACTAAATCCATACGTTTAACAAAGTGAGATTATCATCTCTTTAATTTTGGTATTTCTTCCCTTATCTATTTACTTTCATATCTTCTTCTCCGTTATTTCTCCATCACCATCAACAGCCTCCATTCTCACCTCCACCTTATTCACCACCGGCAATTTCCATTCCAATTTCCGCCTTATTCTCGGTCTTCTTCTTACAAACTCGTTTCCCTTCATGTTTCAATTTTCTTCTTTAAGCAGATTTATAATTTTATTCTTCGCCTTAAGTTCTTCTTTAATCCAATTTATAATTTATTTGCTTCAAGTAGGTTTTACAGGTTGTCAATGGTGCACGGTTATGCTAAGTTGGTTTATGTTATGTTGGTTATGTAATTGACAGTTTTATATACATTTAACTGTTGATTGTTAAATTTGATGCAACTATATGTATTTCTTTTGCACTTTTTCATATTATTGTTGCATATCTTTAGATATATGGGTTTGTATTAACATATTTTTTAGATTGATAGATTTCACTAGTAGTTTAGTGCATTTACATTGTCATATGATGCATTTAACATGTTTAATGTCGAACTATTTCGTAATAGTTATCTATTAACTACTAATAAGATAATAATGATAAATTGTATCTAAATTTTAATGCACTTGTCAAACTTAATTCATGCACTATTATATTCATTAGTTTTTATTGTACTTTATTTTGCAGATAAAAGTGACACCAAGAGGCCCTACCATAATGAAAATTATGATGCTTTCAGAAGAAAAGTGCATTTCATTTAGTAAAAAGTGTCAATGTAAAATATTAGAAAAGTGTGAAATTTTGGTGCACTTTGATATATACTTAAATGCACATAATAGAAGTGCATTTTATTTTGTAAAAGAGTGTCAATGAAGAGGTTTAGAAAGTGTGATATAATAGTGCACATTGGTATCATTCTAAATGCACGTTATAGTTATTGTTTACACCCGTGTATATTTATATTAATTTTTATGAATTTTATCCCGGACATGTATGAATGTGTAGAATTAAATGTTTAAAATGTTAATGTTGTAGAAAGTGCAAATTAATGACATTAAAGTGTGGTTTACAATAGTGCAAATTAATGTAATAAACATGTAATTTTCCTTTACGTTGCAAAAGCATCTAAATATTTACTTAAATTGATGACGCAAAATGTTTTAAATAAAAGTGCAATTATTAAGCGTTTAAGTGCAAATATACAAAAGTAAACGAGTGAAATATTAACTCTGAAAAGACGATTAAACGAGAAAAAGTGCACAATTTGGATAGAGATTTTTATCAAATTTTTTTTATTAGAATACTATGTGAGATAATACTAAATTTAATATGGAAAGAAAATTAAACAATTGAAAGTATATATTAGATAGGAGGGAGGTTACTCCCTATTAATTAGTAGCCTAATTTTTAGGATGTACTCCTATTATAGTGCCACATGCGTAATAACTACTTGGATGATATTTACCATGGTGCCCTTTGTATAATTTTCAATTGAACGGTTGCCTTATATGTAAGTTTGATGATCCGAAATTGGTCTCTATTTCAAAAAATGCTAAGCCATTAGATCAAGTTAATGGAAGGTTAGATTTTGTTCTTTTTTACTCTCCTAAGTGGGTGTTCTCACAGGAACTAACCCCTATATATATATATATATATATATATATATATATATATATATATATATATATATATATATATATATATATATATATACGGAAAAGATCCTGTCCAGCCGGAGGGACAGGATCATCCGTCCGGCCGCCGCCGTTTAGGGCGGTTTCTGGTGGAGTTTTTTGATGAAATTTTTATGGAATGTTCCTCATCAAGTCTAGTTTATCCACAAAAAATTTCAGCTAAAAATTCGATCGGGAAGGCAGTCAAATAATTTTTTGAAACATAACTGCGTTTTATATGTTTAAGTTGGAGCAGTTATCTTCAAAAAATTATTTGACTGCCTTCCCGATCGAATTTTTAGCTGAAATTTTTTGTGGATAAACTAGACTTGATGAGGAACATTCCATAAAAATTTCATCAAAAAACTCCACCGGGAACCGCCCCAAACGGCGGCGGCCGGAAGATCCTGTCCCTCCGGCTGGACAGGATCATTCCTCTCTCTCTCTCTCTCTCTCTCTATATATATATATATATATATATAGATTTTGGATCATATAAAAACACCTCTTCCCATGAAAAATGAGAAGCAATCTCATCCCTTGGAATTCTTACATAAGTAAAACGATGGCCCTGATTTAAGGCATTGCGGATGGGGTATTATTGTCCGTCCCAATTACTTCCTTCCGTTTTATCTATGCTCTAGTTTGGTAAGTGCATTTATTTGGCAACTTGATTCATAACTTTCTGTTTTATTTGTAATTGATGTGTGATGCATTAGCTTCGTCATCTTCCATTCTCTTATTCATTTCCATTTTTATTTATAATTGACGTGCGGTTACATGTGCTTTGACAAACTCAACAATCTCCCACTCACAAATACTTAACACATTTCTTTCACTTTTAATATTCTATTTTTACATTATATGTTCACCCTAAACTCTAATCAATATTTTAAACCTACTTGTGCACTGCCAAACTTTACAATGTCCACTTTTTACAATTCTCGGGATCCTCGCCATAGTACCACTTATGTATTAATCTACTCCACTCTATTAATTTAGTCACTGATCTGCAATATTATGGGTATTAATATTTCCACATTCCTAATAAGTTAATTAAATAGCCAATCTTCACTTTTAAAGGTTACATTTCCACTTATTCTATTTGTTTACATATTCACATCCTACGTATGCCTCTTTTTAGCTCTCCTTGCTCTATTTTGTCTATGTCGGTCTGATCTTCACTGCATCTAAAGTGGTCTTGCAAACATATATTAATATATATATTCCCAGTTATTTCCCTTATCTACACTTATTTCATCTAGTAATCCACTAATGGTGTTCCACAATCAACCTATGCATAACGTGTCTATTTTAACACTATGGATCTTACTATCCACCCGTAAACCATATTTATAGACAAGTGTCAACCTCTGCACTTTCCTACTTTAGCTAGTGACAGTTACTTGGGGAGGGGAAAGAGGGACTACCGGTGCATTAATGATTAGAGCTTAACACGTTATTTTAAAATTAGTAAGAAAATCAAAAGACTATTAGACCCTCCGTAGTGCGCCTCTTCTTAATTTTGTAATCAAGGAAATTATCTGCTAACATTCAGTGCACCATAACACCGAAGCAAATTTTATGTTTACCGTACGATTGCTTCATATCTATGGCTACGATTCCTTCCTAGTTTTCATGTTAGAGGGTGTTTTTACTTTTTACGTGATCTCTACCCTATATATATATATATATATATATATATATATATATATATAGGGTTAAGATCGGATACAAAGTATGCTTGCGGTACAAAATGCAAACTAATCTCATCCGTCCAAAATTGCAACATCAATGGTAAGAAATATTTGGGCCTAAATAGTGAGTCGTTAGTGGGGGAGTTTCTCTATCCGTTATTAATTACATGCGGCTAGTGGGGAAATTTTCCCAACCTTGTATCACATACACCGTAACTTAATTTAGATGGATGGTCATGATTCATTTGCACTTTGTAAATTAGGATGACTTTGTATGTGATTCTCAATCTATCTATATATATATATATATATATAGAGGACTGCTCAGGTCCCTCCGGAGGGACGGGAGGGACCGTCCGAACTTTACTGTTTGGGGCGGTTCCCGGTGGAATTTTTTGATGAAATTTTTTGAGCATGTTCTTCATCAAGTCTAGTTTGTCCATACCAAATTTCAGCTCAAAATTCGACCGGGAAGGCATTCAAATCATTTTTTGAAGTTGACTGCGCCAAAATATACATATAAAAATGCAGTCAACTTCAAAAAATGATTTGAATGCCTTCCTGGTCGAATTTTGAGCTGAAATTTGGTATGGACAAACTAGACTTGATGAAGAACATGCTCAAAAAATTTCATCAAAAAATTCCACCGGGAACAGCCCCAAACGGCGGAGTTCGGACGACGGCTGGACCGGGGAGGGCTGGACCAGATCTTTTTTGTATATATATATATATATATATATAGATTTAGGTTCATGTGAGAACTTAATCTTAGGAGAGGAAAAAAGAATACATCTTGACCGTTGGATTAGCCTCTAAATAAACGTCCGCCTAAGCTATGATAGAGGGTATTGAAGTCAATCCTTTTTCCTCTAATTAAACGTCTGCCTAAAATCGTGCTCTGTTTCCTTCCAAAAACCGTTTCTACAATCTACACGATTCTTTCCCAAAATATTTTCAACACACCACGTCGTTCTTCTCTGGTTCTGCAAAGGTATCATCTCCCAAATTATTTTCAGCTTGCCTTGGCGTTCTTCTCTAGTTCTCCGAAGGTATTCATCTGATTTCGTTCTTAAAATGTACGAATTGATCTGACATGGTATCATTCTTATTTCTTTTTGAACCTAAGGTATTCTTTGGTCTGCTGCTCCATACGTTTTGAGTTTTCTTCTCCAGCCTAACGATTCCATGGAGTGCGGCAAGTTTCTTTTCTTTGAATTTTCTGATCGTTTAAACTCTTCTAGTTTTACGTTTGGATGTACGATTCTATGATTTTTTCAATATTTTGAACGTCATGTGCGTGGAGTTTACCCTTTTTTGTTGTGTATGAATCATTGATGGAAAAATTCGTTCATGTTCATACGAATTTTGCATTATTTTGTAATGCACTATAATATTTTTTCTCATACATGTGCGTTGTGATAATGTACTCTGATTCTCGCGTGTGGTAATAGGATGTGTTCGTGAATTTCTGATTAGTTTGGTTGCACACTTTAAATTTTACTATGATGCTCTTACATGCATTCTGATATTGCACTTTTTTATGTTTATCAATCATTGATGGAATCAATCGTTTATGTTCATACGAATTTTGCATTATTTTCCAGTGCGCTTTATAGTGCTTTATGATTCTAAGAGGTTTTGGATATTGCAGTTTTAAAAGTACTTGTTTGTTAATAATTTGTTTGCATGCCTCAATCAGGTTCAAGTGACATTAACTTCAGTGCATCTGAAGCCATTTCTCAATCGTTTTATGTTAATACAATATAAGTTTCTCCGAGATCTACTATGTACTGCACACCGGATTGTGACCCTTCTTTTAAAGCGCGTGTTGGTAAGCTTTTCAATACCTTGGATGATGGTATGAGTTTTTATAATCAATATGCAAAGATATTTGGTCTGATATTCATTTTTGCGTTGGAATGATTGACCATAAACCTCAATTGTTTCAGCAGTTTGTAGATGCCATTAAGGTGCAGAAAGAATTATTGTCTACCTCTCAAGGAAATAGTGCATCAGGATCTACAAAAAATGATGTTATCAAAGCCTTTTATGGGTCATGTATTCCTACTGAAGTTAGCGTGCATTCACCGCAGCAGGCTCGAAATAAGGGTTGCGGTAAGAGGATTAAAGGAGGCAAGGAGAAGGCAATTGAAGTGAGCTAGAAGACCAAAAGACTATGTAGAAAATCTAATAAAAAAGGGTATCATGATAGTCGAAATTGTGCTTTGAACTCGGAGGAATGATTATTCTTTTGTATTCATTTTCACAACTTGGCCTTTGAGTTTGGAGCAATGTTGCTTCATTTCTATTTTTTTTACGAATTATAATTTGAACTTGGACAAATGAATATTATTTTCAATTTTTTGTTGTGTGCTTTGGTTTTTCATTATGTAATATCATAAATTACTACCGATTGAGAATTATGTACGTAGTTGTCATTTGTGAATATAACAATTGCATTGTTATCACCAAATTGTGCACTTTTTTTAAACCAAAGTGTGCGATCTATAAATTACTAGTGTGTGAATACTTTATTGCATTGTTATTAATAAATTGTGTATGTATTGAAACCAAATTGTGCGCAATTTAAATCACTGAATCTTTGATTGGAAATTCCATACAATAATTTAAAATTACATTTATAATATTTGATTTAGAAAAATATTTATTGAATTCGTACCACCGAATCGTGCAGTTTGATTAATTTACTTAGCTCGCCATTAATGAATAAATATACATGAAATGTTATTCATGAAATAGTTCGGGTGCCTACCAAAAACTACATTGTACTAAGAAAATTGTACATTTTAAAAAAACAAAAAATAAACATGACAAACTTTCTTCTTCCGTTACTAACTTCCTCTGTCTCTTCACTCTTCTTCCGTTACCGCTTGGACCTGAAAATCATCATCACTTTCTTCTTCCATTACTAATTTCCTCTGTCTCTTCACTCTACTTATGTTCGGGTTTCACGCTCATGAGACGCACTTGATCTTTTTCCCTGCCTTTTATAGCAACTTGCATTCTTGTCTCCCTCTTTCCTGAAATTTGTATTATACAGTACACCTTTATAAGTAATTCAAGCATTCATATACAGCATAAAACATACGTATATGATAATGCACTTTATACTTGCACACATTTCTAACATCTATGATTGTCAATACACACCCGTTAAACTTCACTTTAAAGAACAAAAAAGTGCACTTTCACCAATAATACACAAAAAACACACATTGACTCATTCATGAAGTAAAATGCTCTTTATGAACTAACAAATGCACTTGCATACATTTCTAACAACATCTACGATTTTTGAAATCCACCACTTCAATATAACTTTAACCACCACCATATGCACTTTCACAACTAATACCCAATAACTGCACTTTGAATCCATCATGAATTAAAAATTTAGTTTACTAAACCAGATGCACATTCAATGCTTACGAATTGCACAATGCTAATATTCACTTTTAACTTGAAATATATGCACATTTCAACAATTGAGCATATAAAATAGTTGAAATTCATACTTCACTTTTAACTTGCAATATATATATGCACAATTCACGATTAACCATATGCACTTTTAACTTAGGAATTGCACAATTCTTAAAAATAGTTGACTTTTCACTTTGAATCCATCATGAATTAAAAATTTAGTTTACTAAACCAGATGCACATTCAATACTTACGAATTGCACAATGCTTAATATTCACTTTTAACTTGAAATATTTGCATAATTCACTATTAACCAGATTCACTTTTAACTGACGAAGTGCACAATTCACTTTTAACTTTTAACTTACGAATTCCACTATTAACCAGATGCATTTTAACTACAATGGCCTACCTTGAACATGCATTCAATCAATAACCCAAACAAATAAACCCAAACACATATTTACACAGTGACCTAAGCAATATTCGTACCTGTAGCACTCTTCCCGCTTCCTGACGCTTCGTCTTGCTCGTTCGTCGCTGACATCGCTACTAGAAGCCTTCTTAGGGTTTCGCCTGTCATCGATGTTGTTTGCTTCTTGCGTCCGTCGAGCTCTGGCTTCAGTAGAAGTCTGCACAAGGAAGTTCTCTCGGTTCAAAAATACCGGCACATTAACCGGGATTTCTTTCCATTTAGAAAACAGGGCCCCCAATCGCCATAATTAATTGCTTCTTCCTTTTACAAAAGTGCCCTCTAGATGCACGCTTGGCCTTTTTAAATTCTGCACGGACGCCTCACGTGGCTTTTTTAATCGGCCAAACATGAATTCCCAGCCGCACGATTGTTAGAATGGAGGGTTCAAAATTGTTCTTTTTCGCTCTCCTAAGAGGGTGTTCTCACAGGAACTAATCCCTATATATATATATATATATATATATATAGAGGAATGATCCTGTCCAGCCGGAGGGACAGGATCTTCCGTCCGGCCGCCGCCGTATGGGGCGGTTCCTGGTGGAGTTTTTTGATGAAATTTTTATGGAATGTTCCTCATCAAGTCTAGTTTATCCACAAAAAATTTCAGCTAAAAATTCGATCGGGAAGGCAGTCAAATAATTTTTTGAAGATAACTACTCCAACTTAAACATATAAAACGCAGTTATGTTTCAAAAATTTATTTGACTGCCTTCCCGATCGAATTTTTAGCTGAAATTTTTTGTGGATAAACTAGACTTGATGAGGAACATTCCATAAAAATTTCATCAAAAAACTCCACCGGGAACAGCCCTAAACGGCGGCGGCCGGACGGAGGATCCTGTCCCTCCGGCTGGACAGGATCATATATATATATATATATATATATATATATATATATATATATATATAAACAGGCCTGAGGCCGGTGCCGGTGGAAACCAGGGACCGGCCCAAGCCCGGCCCGGTACCGGTCCACTCCTAGTCCAGGCAAATGAAAAAATGGTTAACATTTTCATTGGTCACCTTCTACGCTTGAAGATGATAGTCAATAAGTAATACTACCTCCGTTCTCTTTTAGTTGCAACGTTGGACTTTTTGCACTATTCACATATTCTATTTTGACTACATTTTATTAATTGATGTATTATAAATTAAATTTTTTAAAAATATTGTTAAATTCTTCTCATTCTAAATTTTCAAAATATGAATTTTTTAAATTTTTTACGAATACGGAATGAAAGATATTAATGGTCAAACTTGTGTGTTGGCAAACGTGAAATGTTGACTGTTGCAATTAAAAAGGAACGGAGGAAGTAATACAAGTACATGAAACAGTAAGGAACACAAAACCATGAAATTAAATACTCCGTATTTCATGTAATGTACAACAAGAAAAAGAAAGCTGGCAATGTGAACAACACAATGCTGTTTATGTACAAGCTAACCAAGAGAGAACTTTTGAGACTTCTGTACACAAGAAACCACAACCATCTCCAGACTGGTGGGCTTCCATTTCATTCTCTCAAAACCACCATTATCATCTATGCAATAGAAAGAAGATGTGCTTCAGATCAGAAAGAGTTCAAATTATTAAATGTACGGGTTTAAACTTGGGACGAATAGTCGTGGGGGGGTGCTGCTCCTTCCCATCCCATCCACTCTTCCCATGGCTCTTCCCAATATGTATCCTCTTCTTCATCCACCATACTCTTTGGATGATGTGTCGCCTCCACCTCTCCCCTCATTTCACTTTTCAAATTTGTCATGACCATCTTCATAACCCATAAAAATGTTTTAAAAGTAGAGCTGGATAAACAGAAGAACAGTAACTGGAACAAATAATTTGGAATAGACTGAGGTACATTTTTCATTATCAACTGATTCAGCAAATGCAGTTAAATACAATAATCCTACAATCAACGTTACAAAAACAAGCACCAATAGCAAGCTTATAAGCTTATTACACTAATCTTATAAAACAGATGGACCAGAACCTTAACGGTTCAAATACATTGAATGTGGTTTATTTAAATAAAGGGAGATGCTTAAAGCAAATAGCAAGCACATAGAAACCATCATGCATCAATCTTGAATATTAAAGGAGTACCCATCAATTTAAGTATCTTCCAAAGTAACGGAACAAGACACTCCATCTATCGGATAATGTAAATAAAAGTTGCCTAATCTAAAAAACAGATAGAGAACTTTAGGATTTTGGCCAAAATTAAAGGACATCAATTATTGGCATGCTAATAATTATTTTTGTTCACGATTACGGATTAAATATTCCAATTACTAAGTATTATCGAATAATATACTCCTAATTTATTATTCCAGTTAATTGTCTAAGTTATTTTACATAAAGAGGAAATGGAGGATAGTTGTACCATAAGATATTGCATTGGACACAAGAAAGATAGAAATAAATTCTAAATCACAGTTAGGCAAAACAGTCGACATATAATTCCTGAGATAATAAAAGACAACAAGAAGGGCGGATATAAATGAATTGCTTACATCATAGGCTTCAACAATTTGGTGAAATTTCACGCCGTTGTCGCTTCCTCTGTACACGTCCGGGTGATACTGAATCAAATATAAAAAAAATTAAGAAATCTCTTGAGTTGATGATGTGTATGAAACAGGAACAATAACAACACAACTTTCAAGAGTGCATATAATTAATTTGATAATAAACCGTGGCAGGCAGGCATCAGGTCAGTGATCAATTAAGCCTCTCAATTCTCCTCCGGAAAAATTTGGATTTTGAAATCGGTTCTAAAGAGCATATCGTATCAGACTTTCAGAAATCATTATAGCCACAAACCATTATATCGTTGCTGGCATTGTAACTGTGCAAAACTTGTCTCTACAAATTAGCAAGAAAAAGGGGACTTTTATCAAATACCTGAAGAGCAAGGTGTCTGAAAGCTGTCTTGACCTGAGATTCAGAAGCTCCAAGGTGGATCCTGAGAGTCTGATAATGATCTGTGAGAGAAGAAGAAAGGCAGAAGAGTTTGAACCCGCCCGCATTGCGACTGCCCCCATCCTTCTTCTTCCTCAACCGAATCGATGACGCGGGTTCAGATCCGCAATCCGCAAAGCGACCCATCACTCCAAAAGCAGTCGCCATTTCAGATGGTTCAAAGGAATAAAGATGTTTTTCGTGGGATGAATTTAACCGATGAACGGGTATGGCACACGGTTTCGAAAAGAAAACAGTGGTTGGGGTTTGGTAGAAGGGTCAATCCAAGTGTGTAAAAAGGGGGAGGTAATGAAGGAAAAACAGCTTCTGCTCCTTTGAAAATGGAGTAAAATAAATGAAATGAAATGAAATGGTGGGGAGTGGATAGGGATGTGGGTCGTGGCATGGAGATTGCAATCTTATCCCATTTTATTAATTTATTATCCTTTGTACGCTAATATTTGGAGTGTCGTCGCCGAGTTGATAAATACTCCGTACGTGTTATGTTGTTTTGGCTTCCCGATCCATTATTCGTTGAACACTATCTTCTCGTGTTAAGGGTGTTTGGAAATCGTGCTTCTGCTACTTTATTAAAGCAAAAACAGTATCAGAATCAATTTTCAGGTCACTCATAGTTTCTAAAAAAACTGATTCTAAGAGTAAATTTGAGTTCAAGAATCACTTTTTCACTTTCACTCAAACACTCCAGCTTCTGCTTCTGCTCCCTAGCAGAAGCAGTTTTAAGAATTGGATCCAAATACCCCTTTATTCGAAATTTGAATAGATATATACGGAATAGATATATACCGAGTATATTCTGTCAAATTACTAAAAAAGTTTGAAAATTCTAACGTAAGACTATCATGTTTTTATTCTCAAAATATGAGTAATTACTGTAAAATTTGGAAAATACTGCGATGTTTGAAGTCTGGTACCGCAAAAACTTGTCATTAATTAGTCTTATTTTGGGAATTAAAATATGACAGTCCTATTTTAGAATTTTCAAACATTTTTAATCCTATTTCGGGTAATATTCTCTTTATTTTATTCATCAAATAAGATATATTAACCACAAGAAAATCTATTTAGAGGTAAATGAACTTATTAGAAGAAAATTATTACAATCTTGAGTCTTGATTGAAAAATCTTGAGAAAATTGTCAATTTGGTCCTCACTTTCATGAAAAAGCCCATTAAATCCTAGATAAATCAATCAAATTCCCGAATTTTGTAAAAACGATCAATCGAGTACATTTGCGGGTCATTTTTCATGTCAGCAAATCACCCGCTGATGTGGCGCGCACATGGCGGTTCACACGTGCGCCACATCAGCATCAAATGGCTAACCGGACTTCCAAATGTGTGCCACGTCAGCAAAGTTATTGCTGGTTGGGCTGACACATGTTCGTCACGTCAGCGGGTGACCTGCTGACATGGGGCAAGAAACCTCCAAATGGACTCAATTGAACGTTTTTACAAAGTTTAGAGATTTGAATGAATTTTTTAAAAGTACGAAGACCTAATTGACTTTTACATGAAAATACGAAGATCAAATTGACAGTTTTCCCAAAAATCTTTTTCTCTCAATTACAGCATTTTCTCTTATAAAATTAATTTGAGAAAAAAAATTCTATCATCTGTGGACCACTATAATTTTTGCAAAATCTTTTTTTACTTATTATTAGTGTCGGGAGTTACGCTCATAATTTTGGAGTTTATGAACTATCCTCCAAAATCACATGTAAATCTGGATCTGACTTCAAATAACGAATTCATCAGAACTTAATTACACTATTGGCTCCTTCTAGGCTCCTACCACACGAACCTACTACCTATATCATTGTATTCTCCCACCTTTGTCATTGTGCTACTTCATGAAGGTGGGGAAAATTATAGGCAGCATTACCTCTCTCGTCCCCTACATGAAAATTGAACCCAAGACATTTCACTATCACATTATTCACATACTCCGTATAATTAGACAACACCAATCAATGCATCCAATGCATTATATTACTATCACATACTCGGTATAATTTTCCCTCGATATAAAATACTCCTGTATTACGTAGTCATCGGGTATCACTATTATTATTTGAGATATTACCCAAAATGGGACTAAAAAAGTTTGGAAATTCCAAAATAGAACTTCCATGTTTTTATTCCCAAAATAGGATTAATTACTGTCATGTTTTGGCAGTACCAGACTTCAAACATGACAGTATTTTTCAAATTTGGCAGTAATTAGTCCTATTTTGAGAATAAAAAGATGACAGTCCTATTTTGGAATTTTCGGGAACTTTTGTAGGAGAAGCTAAACCTAAGCTATATTCAGTTTTTAGCATACTTGTAGTTTATATTATTTTTTATTAGATTTAAATTCTTTGATCTAGTCAGATCTGATCTATTTAGGTATGAATTAGTTTAGTATGATAAATGTCTAATCTATGAGTATATTACCACTATCAAAGTCTGATTTGTTTTGGTGTGGTATGTTTTGTTCTGGCTTGGTCTAATTTGATTTGGTCTAGTTTAGAATTGAAACCAATCCAATTAAAATAAAATTCATATATATTTAGGAAAATTTTATTTGCAGCCACAAATTTACTAATCAAAGACAATTTTTTGAGTGAATCATTAGATTTCATCTCAACTTCAAGAAGGTAATTAAGTGGACTTGAGATTCCTTTGATGAGGGCATTGATTGGTGTTTTATTAGCAAGAGCAGAGATTCAGAAGAAAAGCTATCGTGCAATGCCGATTGGTGGCGTGCTTTCGGTGCTGAAAGTGAAGACATGGTGGAGAATGTAATATTAATATAAGGGTAAGCTACACATTTGAAATAATTTATTAATTAAAGTTTATTATAGTAGCTATAGCCTATATATAATAACCATCTCGGGTTGTTGGCTCAAATATCCCAATATAATGAAATTACATTTTCATCTTTCGCGATTCAAAACCCAAATTATCCAATCCTCGTCCTGGACGGGTCCATCAAGAGCAACTCGACCGAGAGAGAATAAAAAGTACTCAGTTTACAAAACAAAAACAAAACCAAAAACAAAAACCATTTCCCAATTGTTAGGATCGGATTCCGTCTCCGTCTCAGGTCTCCAACCTCCACAATAGCTAGACTCTCACACACCACTAAGAACTAGGCCACTCCACCTCTCACCATATCTACTCTCTTCTTCTAACCACAAAGGAACTCTCATAAGGAGAAAGAAGGAAGACACTGCTCTCAATTTCTCGCAGGCTTAAAACTCACGAAGGAAGAGCTCCAATAGTTATAATAGGCTGGCTACCTATTGATAACTCACGGGGTGAATAAGGACACTCACAGGTAAGGCAATAGGACACTCAAGGGTACTGCATCAGACAAGCAAAGGGGCCAAAGCCAGGTAATGAGTGACTCAACAGGTATATAATTGATCAAAGAATATACCAAACAAGAGGTATCAAAGTGAGAGTGGATATAAGGGTGCAAGCCTTAATAATAAAGTGGAAGGGATGCCTTGGTAGGACCAATATCTCCAACACCAGTCACAAATGTTAAATCAACACTTGGGGATCGAACTGCTAAATCAACCCTTAATTTACCAAATGTGTAATTTATTGGTTTGATCAAGTCAAAGTGTCAAACCACATGTTCCAAGTTTGTACGGGTCCTTCATTTACAAAATGAGACATCAGTTCTCAACATGTGAACAGAAAAAGCAAAAAACAACGACAATAATTGGCGTACGTATAATGTCTGATGAGTTATAAAAAAGAAAAGCACTATGACCGATGACTATAACCTCATATTCTGATACTATGGTTCCAAAAAAGCTTTACAAGAAAACTTTCCAAGTCATTAACTTCTATTGCAATCAGGTTCCATAAGGCAAATCACAATATATATATGTAGGATTAATGTATAAAAAAATAAAGTGTTGGCATTAGTTAGAGACAGAATCAGTTTTTGCAACAAGGCTGCTGCTACATTCAGATTGCAGAAGAGAGGAGGGTGCAGCAGACTGCTGCTGCTGCTGGTCCTCCTTGGTGGTTGAGACATCATCCAACCCCGCACTTTTCTTCTTGAACTGAACCAAGATCATTGTCATGTTGTCGGACCCTTCTTCGCCAGACGATGGTGCCAAACACCTGTCGAGAACTTTTTGGCAGACCGATGACAACTTGTTTTCCTGCATAAACATAATAACAAATATAGGGCGGTTTAGATTTTTCTCACTGTATACATAGATGTATATCATATCAAAAAAGAGAGGAGGCTAACACTGGCATCTTTTAAATTTTCCAGCACAAAGTCTACAAGTTGCTGGCTTGACATGCAATCCCTGGACAAAATAAAAAAGGAAAAGAAAAGAAAATAGATGTGAATGGTTGGAATATACTCTGCGTAATAATACACTAGTTCACAATGAACAACATAGACTTATATGCACCCGCTACTACCAAAGGCTCTTTTTACATTAAAAACTGAATGATAAACGAAGGTTCAAATAAAGCAAGGGCGTACCATATCCCATCGCAAGCCACAACAAGAAAATCATCATCTTCACAAAGCTCAACCTAGTTAAAGAAAGGATGAAGTGGAATAAGATACGCAAATCCCTTTCTTTTTCAGGGACTAAGAAGAAATCCAGTATATTGTGGAGTAAATATTTATATTAATAATGCCCTGTTACCCTAAAAAAAAATAGTATAGGAACCCACCATAAAGAAACTGTTACACTGACATATGGGACACTTGGTGTCATATCAACTTGTCTATGATTTTCGAGAAATCTTGACTTACCGATTTTATGTCAGGATTAGCGGTCACAATTTGCTTTTCTGCGGGCAAGGATTTGTTTTGTTTTAGTTCCACATCTCCTGAAATCAGTAAAAGCATGATAACAATGTGGAAGAACCAACCAGGCAACCCCCCAAAACGAAGGTTGACATCTTATGTGTAATCTAATATACTTCTATACACAATATAAATTCCAATTAATTAATACTACACCTATTGCTCTTGCCAAATTCAGACTCCCATTAACCCGTCCACACTGAACATAACCACCAGCTTTCAGTATTCTTTCTTTTTCAGCTTCAAGATCAGGCTTGTGATCTCTTGACAAATCATGTGCCTAACAACATTATCAGAACTTGTAAATTTCCGCTAAGAGACACTGTTCCACACTCGTACAAATAAGCCATAGAGCACCAACTCCATAGTGCCAAGACAAGACAAGCTATAATATAAACTTAGAACCAGTGATCTTGACGAGCTAGGTATCCTTTGAGGGGAAGAAAAACTAAAAACGAGAGTACCCGTCTGTTTGAAAAATATATATGAATATCCCTCGAAAGATATCGAGAATGCCAGAATGGTAAACATTACCTGATTCTTCCTGGATAGGACACAACGAGAATCACCTGCATTTGCAACTATAAGTTGTTTGTCTCGAATGATGGCAACACAAGCAGTGCAGCCTGAATTTGGCCCCTTATAAACAGGGACAACTTCCTATATCAAAGTAAACATATATTAACCCTTAACCCACACATAAGAGTAAAAATATTTAGAATATATATAACGCGCCTAAGATCAACACTACAGCGACATGAACAGAGAAAAGGTATCGCAATGTAGATAGCTAAAGGTCTGAAGTAAAATAAACACGCTGCATCTATTCCAAAATGTTTTTGCATAGGAACAAATTAAGGTTTAAATATTACGTAGTACAAATTAATCAGGTATAAATAGGAAAAAAATTGAAACATTCACTAAGTAATAAAGGCAGGAACCCAGAAAGTGTCATAATAGAGCACCGATATCCAATTGGGGCGCATATCTCTAGCATCGTGAACAAGAAAAATATGATTAAGTCTTAGCGCATACCATAAAATATGGAAAATATGGAAGCAATACCTCTTTAGGAGAGTTCTCAGCAGTTTGATCCTCATCATCACCACTCTCAGGGTAGTCTATGCATTCAACCACATCTTCAAAGCTCTCTAGTTCACGTGTCAGACCAATTAACTCTTTTCGACTTCCTAGGCTACACATCATTTCGTCCATTCTGCTTCATAAATACAATTACTTTAGAATCATAATATGGAGAACTTAAAAAATATATGATAGTTTAGACGTCTCTTTGTGAGCATATTAATTTCTCTTGCATATTTGTGGGCTTACCATGACATTATTAGACAGTTACCGGGAGTAAGTGACTGGGTTCTTTTAATCATACAACGGGATTGCATCCTTGTAACCTATTTCTTCTCTTGTTTCGTCATTTTTCCGGAAAAAAGGCTACCACCTCACAAGACTGGACCCACCCCAACAATATATCATATATTTTCATTGACACAAGAAACTTTACTGCACTGCTTTCGGATTAAAAGAATCCAATTATTAGATGCACATTTGCTTAGCTAGAAATAGAAAATGAAGGTCAACTGCAAATTGTGCAATTAAGACCAAGAGGCTTTTTTGTTGATGCAACTTCTAATCTAGAGTGTACTAGCAGAATAGTTTGCTATAAAGAACACATTTTTTTAATATAAAGACAGGAATGTACTCAAATTAAAAGGAAACTGTTATACCAGTATTAAGTTTTGGCGGAAAGTTCTTCCATAAATTTCCTAATATGATAGGACAATTTTTATATTTGAAAAAAGAAAAAAAAATGAAATAGACTTTAGGAGTCATGCACATCACTGTACATGATTAATTCTCAAGGGCCATATTGCATGCAGGTATGAGAAAAACACATCATAGTCTAGAACCCAATGATGATAAATCAAAGTTACAGGATAATGGCACCGTCTTGTTGCCATAAAGAGCTTTGCCTACGGTACCAATGAGGCACCAGAAGAGAAGATAAATGGCAATAGAAAAGCTAAAAGTGAAGAGTAACCTGAGAAATGATTTCTGAATCGATGTGCTTAAGTCTCCAGCAGAATATGCTTCATGGTTGAGAAACTGCTCATGAAGGTACTTTGCACAAAATTTAGCAACTTCATCACCTAATTAGGTCAACGGATTTAGAAGAGAAACAAAGGTGACTAGAGACTAGCCCTAGGAAAACTCCAGGCAAAACAACACTTGTGATCGGCATTAACTTTTTCCTATAATAAAGCTATTAATTATTTTGATGAGCAGGCAATTATCTAGATTTGCATTCATTAGAGTCCTTGGCACCAAGCGCCATAGCGGATAAAAACAAATGAACTTTTTTTAGGGGGTGTTTGGATCTGATTCTCAAAACTGATTCTGCTCCTTCAAGGAGCAGAAGCAGAAGCTGAAGTGTTTGGGTGAAATTCCAGAAGCACTTCTGGAGCTCTAATTTACTCTCAGAATCAGTTTTTTTAGAAGCTGGGAGGTACCAGCTTCTGAAAACTGATTCTGATTTTGCTTCTGCTTTTAAAAAAGAAGCAGAAGCAGAATCAGTTCCAAACACCCCCTTACACTGCAAGCAATTCAACATCTTTGGATTTTTGTTACCAAAGCTACCACAATTATAAAAGGATTCCTTCCTCAAACGTCCAAAAGAATGGTTAGAAAATGAAAGCTCATCCTCAGAGTATTCACCAAATTCATATTCTTGTTGAGGAGAAATCATGAAATTCATCAAGTTGCCAAAGAAACAACTTGGCCAAATACCAAATCAGAAAAAGAAACCGGCTGTAAATAAGTACTATCCTCCATCTTTAATAGTTGCAACAATTTGACTTTTACGTTTGCCAATGCACAACTTCGACTATACTTATATTTAATTACATTTTAATAAACATTAAAAAGGTTAGTATTTTGGAAATTCACATTAATAGAAATTTAATAACATTTTATACATAATAATTTGATTATATATATTAGTAGAAAATCATGGTCAAAGTAAGGTATGTGCATAGTGCAAAAATCACAATGTGGCAACTATTAAACAACGGAGGTAGTACTAAGGAATATCTAAAATGCACAATACACCATGCAGTATCCGCACCTCCATGCCCATCATATACAGCAAAGAAAGAAGTTGAGCTGTCCAGATTTGGATAGGCTGCATGCTGTAGAACATCCAAAATAAGCAGTCTGAATCTCATTTCCATTTCTTCTAATAGCAAATCATCAAATATTTATTCCATTTAAACTAAATACTAGCTGAAACACAACAATTTTGAAGTTCAAAATGTAAAAAGGGTCCACACTACAGCAGCTTCTCTGCTATAAAAGTCATGCACTTACAGCATCTTCCATTGATGTACGCCATCCTTGCATTGTTGCCAAACCAAATCTTAATTGTTCATTCTCCCCATCCTCCAAATGTTTTTCAGATTTAGGACTACTGAGATATATTCCCATTTTTAGCTGAAATTTAAACCACACATTTGACATCTGTTCATAACTCATATGGTGACATAAAGAATGTTTAGCACAAAACTACGTCATATGGACACTCTAAAAACAGAAATAGGTAGGTACTATGCAACTAGATTTGGGATTGAAGCTTGGGCTTTTCATAATGAAGCAATATATTCCTCTCTTTAAGGATGCACAAAGCAATCAAGTCATTGACTTATGAAGGGAAATTAAAACTAAAAGCAACCAAACACAAAAACATGAGATTGCAGACATGCAGAGACCGGAGACCATAAAATTGAGATAGATACTCAGAGCTCATCATCTCTGAACGAAAATAAGATGTACTCAAACATTCAGAAGTTATAGAGCCACAGTGTGTATATATCTATTTTGGGTAATAATTCAATCATGTGCCCGAAATACATACGTACAAAAACATAGGAAGATGTAAAATTGCATATGCAGTCATATACAAACATCAAGTACACTGTACACATACAAACCACACCCTCAAAGATAACGATAAATTTATAAATTCAAAAAGAATCGAATTACACAAATATCAATTACTTTTGGCGTTGAGAATAGACAAGAGAGACTGAGAAAGCTTCTTGACAACAAGGAAATATCGAAGGAAAACATTGAATTCAGATAGCCAAACAACCACCAGAAACTTTGAATCGAAGTATATGCATAACAGGAAAAGTTACCCGCCAATGTAGAATCTTCGCTCTGCAATCAAAAAGAGGGGGAAAGGATTACGGAATATAGGAAACGTGGGATCGGGTTTGATAAGAAAGATGATTGATCATTCGATTGTAGTATTTATTACCACCTTCTATATTCCGGCTACAATAGGGTCCAATATAGAAAAAAACAAGCATGGGCCACAAGTAGGGTTGAGCAAATTGATGGTTTGGTTTGATTTGGGTTTACTTGAGTAAGCCGTTTGGTAACAATTTTCTCAAACCAAATGCTTTGATTTGATTTAGTTTGGTTTAAAATTGAAAACCCGTAAACCGAACCGAACAACTTGTAATATATATTACAATATATATATTATAATATATATATATATTATAATCTCTAAACGAAAGTAACTTCTGAATGTATGAGTACATCTTATTTTCGTTCAGAGAGTAATGATCATAACCATCCGGATGGATAGGAAGTGTCGTCCGATCGAGGCCATCAGAGAGCCCATTCCGGTGGATTTTTTGATGAAATTTTTTGAACATGTTCATCATTAAGTCTAGTTTATCCATACCAAATTTCAGCTAAAAATTCTATCGGGAAGTCAGTCAAATAAATTGTGGAACAAAACTGCATTGTTTATATATATATATATATATATATATTACGAAAAAATAAACTTTATTAAAGAGGAAAACAAAGAGTAATACCCAACCCAAAGGAAAACAAATAGAAATAAACTAAAAGGAAAACAAACGGAAACAAACGAAAAAAGAAAACAATCTAAACAATAATACCCAACCCAAAGAGTTTCATGATCCCTCTCGAATTGCCCTTTAGCCCTTGGTCAAATCTTCACAGCCCTGTTCTTGACTGAGATCTAGTTCTCATTAGATGAGACCGTTGGTTCTTCTTTCTGTATAATCTTTTTTGGGTGCTCAAATTTTGAGTAGGCAGGCAATTTTCTGGTGTGACCAACAGAGCCTTTTGACAAATAACTTCATTGGTATCCGAGTCCCAAAGGTCCCCCACGGTCGAAATGGGAAATCTCTTCTCATTCTCAGAGGCATGACCAAGGAATTCATCACCCGAGAACATAGATTCTGAGCCACCATAAACTCCCTCAGAATCAAAAGCTTCAAAAAGATTGCCCAAGGTATCTAGACTTGCATCATTCCATCCCGGGTGATTTTGTCTACCTCTATTTTCATTGCCTGAATGTAAAAATCTCATGTTGCTATGATCATCTTGCTCTGAGACATTCTCCGTTTTTGAAGTTTTTCCAACATTATTGGATCCCAAAGACAAATTACCCAATTTGGATTTTTCCGGACAGGAGCCCTGTCCGGCCTCCTCCATTTGGGCACCTTTCCGGTGGTATTTTTTGCTAAACATTTTTGTGTATGTTCCTCATCAAGTCTAGTTCATTCATACCAAATTTTAGCAAAAAGTTAAATCGGGAAGGTCGTCAAATCATTTTTGCAAGTTAACTGGTCCGGAAAATACATATTTGCAATGCACAGGCTAATCGATTAAACACTTTACCCATCTTACAAATATTTCAAAATATAGCATTTTTATATTTTTTTTAACCAAATGGAAAGGCTATGGAGTGAATACAAGAAATACAAATCAATAAACGTACGCAGTCAAAGATGTAAAGTAAGAGTTGATCATATATATTTTAACTCCTAAACCTGTCAACTGATAATGTCTTAAAGTAAATCTAGTGTCGCAATCAAGTACATGTTATTTATATGCTAACATAAAGTGTAATAATGAATCAGAATATCAGGTTTGAATTAATATATACTTTTCGATAATAGTGACATTTTCTTTAGTAGATGGAACAATAACATCCATTATTTCAAGAGGTAGCACTCTTCAAAATCCATCTATTTATAGACAATGGGCCATTCTCGTAGCACAATATCATAGGTAACAAATTTAACAGATTCCAATGTTCCACCAATAACAAACAAGAAAATTATAAATCATTAGCGCTTTAAGTTTTGACTATTTTCTAGACATACCAGAACAGCCCATAACATTATCTACAATTCTTTGTGTCAAGATACTTCCAAATCATAGGTTGTGAAGCTCGCCTCTTTTGGTATTCAATTTGAAAACTGGACTTCCCTTTCCTCTTAGTTATCAACTGGCCACACAATTCCCTACCCTGGAGAAGAGTATTACTTCTGATTTCCAAGCTCTCATGTTCATCTTTCTCCTTCCCAGTGGAGGCCGGTGGAAGATATTTTCGTTTGCTCGAAGAGTCAGGGATTGGTCCCTTGACAGGAAAATACCTATTCTTCTCCGAGACATAGTAGAATCATGGAAGCTCTTTGGGCATTATCAATAATATAGTATAATCGAAGGAAGATGATAATTAGCTCTTGTGCATAGTAGCGACCGACTATAGCGGGGCCAATTTTTAGTGAATAAAAATTCATCGGCAAGTGATTCTACTGAAAATTTTAACTTTTTGACAAAAAGAAATTCAAACAAAACTCGCCATTTGTCCTACTTGTTATATTTCCTTGTGACTGAATGTTTTAGTTGCTGAAATTTGGCAGAGTACTATCAAGGGTATTAACTCATTTACAATAGCCTAGTGATGCACTACTACTATTCACAAAGAGGAGCTAATCAGAACACATGAAGGTGGATGCACTATTTGTGTAACACTTAAATATCATTCATGCATATTCACAAGCACCTAATATGCTTCAAAGAATTTTTAATCATTTATAGCAAAATTAAGTTCTGGCATACACTTAAATATCACAACAGCCTTATTTAAGCAAATTCACAAATAATGAGCGTGAATGAAACACATGTTTCTGGCATGCACAAGAGGGAAAACAAAGACATAAACAAAGGCAGAAACCATCACAAACATGGATACAAGACATACCAGAAAATTGTGAGCAGGTGAGAAAAATCGTCTGTCAATTGCATAAGACGTGTTTATATGGTCATGTGCGAGAAGGATTGAAGGGGGCCGCACCATTAGAAATTTCATAACTCGCACCCGAGAGGAGAAGGATCGATTTGCAGGCAGAAGTCAAATTAAATTAGCTCCATAAATGTGAGATTAATGAACACCCACCTTTGAGGAAGACGAAGGGATGTGCGAGCCTCGGCTAGCCTGTGCGACCGATTAGCGTCTCTTCTACTAAAGATGGAGCGAGAGAGAAGTGGCTTGTGGGTGAATATGGGCTTGTGGGTGAACGGGTGTGGGGCCCTGCGAGAATTACAAAATGGAAACGGTTTGGGGGTAATAACGGAGAAGATAGGTGCGGCACACTGTAGGGAGATATAAGGCACACAACTTCTAAATTTTACAAACATTTAAGCATAAGGTACATGTCAACAAACTCACAGTACCACCAACAAAATATTTATACCCAAAGTAGTCTAACCTTCATGCAGCCTTATTAGATTGTAGAGATGCGGAGGTGTTTTTGTAAATAAATTGAACTGTTTGGATTCACTGCACTCGCTGCACCTTCGATCCCCAGCCTTCAACGGGTAGTCGCCACTAAACTTTAAGAAAGCTTGATAAACCCTAAAAATGCTAATAATAAATCTTATGAAGCAATGATAAACTACAAAAACTAAACATCATGATAGAGTATGGGCTCGCCCGCGGTCGACATATATTGGGATACACAAAGCGGCCCAAAACCATCCAAACTACACACCTCAGCAGGGGCCCTCAGTGAGATGAGGGCCTACATGGATGAAGTGACCAAGATCAAACAAGACCACCATGCAAAACATATTGGGTGAATGCACTGTTCGTAGGAGACTAAGAGTCCCCTCGATCAGTGACACCTCGTCCAACATGAGGTCTACAACTCATATAAAATCTCTTTCAAGGCAAGGTGACAATGAGGACGAGGTCGACAAACACCGCGTCCTACGACACATCGCCCTACACACCTCGTCCGCACGTCGCTCTCTGCCGCATAGTAGATTAGCTTACATGTGTGTGTGCATTTAATGCACCTAGCATTTATTACTCTGTATATTAAAATACCCCTCCTTGGGGCAGATGTAAATGATTCTGAAATCATTAATACTCTGTATCATATATTTCTCTCACTCTAACTCTTAGCTCTCTCTTCTCTCTACAATACCATTAGTGGTTTATTGGTTAAGTATCACATTATTTCATCTTCATTTTAATATCAAAGTAACAAATATTGTGTATATTCATAGAAAATATTTCATAGTTCAATATATTCAACCCTCATTTGGGACAAAATTGTATAGTTGTACAAAATTATCCAATTTAATTAGCAAGGTACATAATATGTACCATCGTGACGCGAAATATTAATTTGTAAATACTAACTACTAATGTCCATTTAGTAATCCATATTTTTAGCTTATCAGTCTTATGAGTCAACTTTTTTTATCAAACGTGTTCGTAATTCTTGATTCTGTGTGTTAATTTTTGTAATAACCAAAATAAATGAGGTTGAAGTTACTTTTCTTGTATAAAGTAACGGTAGATGGCGGTTTTAACTATTTACAATTTACATACTCCCTCCGTTCCAATTTGACGGTCTGGTTGTGGTTTACGAGGTTTGACCGACGATAAAGCAAATGGTTCCCTATTCACACTCAAATTGTTTTTAGTAAATAAAGTTTACATATTCAGGAACTGTATTAAAAGTTTTACAAAGTCGTAAAAGTAAAATAAATTTTAATAAAAGTTCTGATATATAAAGTAAGATATTAAAAGTGGTTTGTAAGAAACATGATCATCAAATTGAGAGGGATGTAGTATCAATTTATTATTTGGTGCATTCTAGATTTATAGGGTCACCCCATCAAAAAGTGTAAGTGATTATACTATTTTATCATTTATTTATATTTCAATTGTTTAATTATATTATTTTTATTGGTCTCGACGTGGTATTGTACCTCAAGGGTACCGTAGGATTTGCACCAAAAATATTTGAAAAACCGTCAAATAAGCTCTCATACTATACCGGAAAAATCAATTAAATCCTCGTACTTTAAAAAAAACTCAATTGAATCCTCGTACTCCTACAAAACGCTCAATTGAGCCGTTTAGCAGGTTAATGGCCGGTTTCCCAATTACTTGCGTGGCAGCCTGCGTGGAAAGTTCTTTTTCATGGTAGTATCTTTTTCTCTTTTCATTTTCTTCGCTTTCTTGTTCAAAGCACGGACGACGAAGGTCTATTTTTCTTCTCGTCACTACCATCTTCCTCTTATTCTCATTTTTGTTTCGCAAGGTCAGGTTGAAAACTCATTTGAAATGGATCGACAAACCGATTGAAATCTAACCGACCAAAAGCGATTGAACGAAACCGAAACTGAACAAGTTGACTGAACCGAAACCAACGGGCAAAAATCGACCATGATGTTCTAATTAAAACGGATCGAAACCGATATAAAGCGAATGAAACCATTCAAGTTGTTAATCCTATCCGTCATTTTTTTTAACAAACACGTCACTTTCGATTTTTCGTGCTGGAGTACGTAATAATCAAACTAAGTGAAGTTAAGCTTAAATTTCTAATTGAATTGACTGAAACTATTTTAAAGAGCCATTTTACTTATTCTTTTTCATATAATTTTTTCTTTATTTTTTTAATGAAATATTTTTAAAATATGGTTTCCCGTAATTTAGTAAATTCAGTCATTTCAACCAGAATTTCATCAATATCAGTGGATTCAACCACTTTCAGTGCTACAGAATAAGCTCTATGTTCCCTTCGTTCCAAAAGTAATTTCATACTTTTCTTTTCAAATCAACCCAAAATAAAATTCACTTACTTTTATGGCAAAAAGTGTCATCATATTAACTTTCTCTCTTTTGCACAACTCTTAACCGCTCAATTTTTAATGCTTTAATTTGTGTGAGAAGACAAAAGGAAAGTTAATGTTAAGTTGAAATGGCGGGAGTGAGATAAAAAAAAAATAATGAATACTGTAGAAAAGGATAAAAGTAGACGATAACCGTTGAAGCACTTTACAATTAAAAACAAGATAGCTTGTGGGTTAGATGGGTTCATGGAGTCTATCTCCATGGGAGAGATGTGTGGACCTTTGATCCACACACGAGGGACTCTCAACTTATAAAAAGAACTATCTTGATCTGAGACCAAGTTGTTTCAAAATCCCCTCTTTAGAGGAGGCCTTGCAATACCTTAGAAAGTGCACCCATAATGGTAAACTTTCATCTTCCAAGGTGTATGATTTAACTTGCTAAGGCTAAAAGCCACCCCTCGGGCGTGGATGGCTTTCATTTGGAAGTCATATATACCATCCAAGTTCTCTTTTGTGGCATGGCTTGCTTTTAGAAATATATTGGCCACTTATGATAATCTAGCTTTCCTTAACTTAGAAAATATATGCCCAATGTGTAAGGGTGGCCCGGAAACGGTTCCACACCTATTCTTTGAATGTTGTTTTACAGGTCAAATCTGGGGGAAAGTCAAGCAATGGCTAGGAATTACAAGGAGCATGGCTACTTTGAGGAGCTCGGTCAAAATGTCAAATGGATAAAAAAAAAAGGAGCACCATGGAGCACACATCAAGGCCAAGGCTATAAGGATATCTTTTTGCTATACTATATACTCCGTATTGGATTTGGAGAACAAGAAACTCTATTCGGTTTGATGGAGCAAAAGTTACGATTGAAGAAGTGTTGTCACAAATCAAGTTTATGGTGTATAAAGTTTTATATTCTCTATATCCGGTTCATATGATAAACTTTTGAAACATTGTGGACTGTTTTCACCCACTTTTTGTCACAGCTAGATGGCTGATTTTTTGGGGTGGATAGCTAGCTACTATGGTTAGTTATCACGTAGGTTGGATAGGGCATCCTTACTTTGGATTGCCTATAGTTTTGCTCATTTTGTCCATATGATGTACATAAACTTTCTTGGATATATATATTTACACTTTATCCAAAACAAGATGAAAAGTAGAATATAGAAGATGGAGTAGATAAATCTTACCAAAAATGAAAATGTAACAAATAATCAAATACTTTCCAAAATAAATATATTACTCTCTCCGTCCCTATATTATCTCCTCCTTTGACATTTCACACAAATTAAGATAGTGGGATTTGTGTGGTGGAGAGTTGTGCAGAGGAGAGAGAAATGTGTAAGAATGTGTAAGAATGATTGTGAACCACAAATTCTTTGCCAAAAAGAGAAAGAGGGGATAATTTTGGGACGGACGAAAAAGGAAAGTTTGAAGATAATTCAGGGACGGAGGAGTAATAGTGATATAACAAAACTTTTTATGCAATGTTATGAAATCATGGTTGAGGTATAATAAAAACGGAAATCAATTTCTAAGAATACTAAATATCATCCATCAACCAATATTGATACAATTTGAAAACAATTTTAAATATTAACAACTATTTGAATGTACATTAAAAGTGACACACAATAACTTTTCCACTGGCAGGCCATTCATTTGACTCATCCAAAAATCTATGTCAAAAGATAAATAAGTGACACAATTCAAAATAATTAGATATGATCATATGAGCTTTGGATTTATTAAACAAATGAATTTCTAGTAAGGAACAACTTCATATCTTTTTTTATATACTCAAATAGTTGGTGTCATTATGTTTTTATTTTCAAAACACATTTGGAGAATAAATCATACTTGTCTTATTTTTTAATTTTACTCAGACATATTTAACTCATATTCTGAACATTTTCTATTTGTATAATTATACGATAGTATGAAGTTATTTTCCGAGGTTGATAAAAAAGAAGGAACAACGAGTTTTGGGAGATGCCAAATTATATACTCCTATTGTCCATAGAAAAATAAGTTGTAAGGTGAAATTTAAATAAAAAGGTACGGAGTAATAAATTAAAAGTTGAAACTGCAGCCAGCAGAAGAAGCATCAAATCCATCGCCATATATATAGAGAAAAGATACATAAAAATACAAATGCAATGTATATATGCACGTGAAATCCCAATAATTTCTCATGCAACAGTGGGGTCCGCCCCTAGCCTTGAGCAGGCAGCCCCTCGGCCTTTTGTTCCATTATTCATCCACCCCTTAGCTTTAGTTTTCGATCTCTCACAACATTTCACAATTCTATCCACCCAAACACATTCTTAATTAATAATATCACATCAAATTTTGCTTAGCTTCTTCCATCTCTTAATACTTTCTTCTCCATATACGGAGTATTACATTATATATGTACAAATAACTAAATTGTGTTGCAGATTATTTCATCAATGCTGCCCTCATTGCTTGTTCTTCTCTGCTTCCTGCTTGTGCTCACAACTTCTTATGATGCTGCTGCTGTTGTTCACAACAGCTATGGGGACAAACAGGTCTTGTCATTGCAGAAGCTTCAATGGAGAAAGCAGCTGTACAACAACCAGCTTAACCCTTCAAGGTCTCCAGCCCAGAAATCAAGTGAGTTTTGGGAATATAAATTTTCTATTTTAATTAAAGACGATATATGTATTATCATTTTCCACTGGTGGGCATTTGCCTTTCTTTGGATCTGTTTTTCCCTAAGCTAACCAATATAATCACCTTTGCATTGTGTAAATCAACCATTAACGATAATGTTGGTCTAAGCATTTAACTATCCTAATAATCATTAAAGATCTTGGTTCCCATCAGTAGTGTTATTGGCTATATTTGCTGAATCTTGTTAATGATTTAATAATCATTAAATCTATTTTAGCTCAAGAAGCTAAGGAAGTCAAAAGCTACTTATTTCGCTTCTAAGCTAAATAAGCCAATTATTGCGGCCAAACGGAGCCTTAATCTTAATTGCAACCTACTTAACTTTACCTTGGTGGACCTTAACTTCATCACAATAATAATAAAAATAATATTAGTAATAATGATAATAATAACAACATACCATATTGTTACTAATATTGTTAATTATTGAATTTATGTCATTTGTTTCTTGTTAGTTCTGCTACCAAGTGTCCAGTGTTCTCTTTTAAGGCAAACCAGAAGTAAATTTTGTACATTCAAGAGAAAAGGGTCAAATAAGGCCTTCTACTATTACTACGGACATGTACTCAATAAAGTGTCATATAAGTACCTCTACTTGTAAAAAACAATCAAATGAGTCCTAACGATCTATTTACAACCTCCTAATTCCGGTTTTAGCTTACATGTCGATTTTTTGACTTATATTTCAACCAATCTTAGTTAAATATTCGACGTATGCCGTATATATATTCTAAAAAGATGGTCACAAGTACGCTAAAACCGGGATTAAGAGGTGTTAAATAGGTCATTAGGACACTTTATTGAGTACGTGACCTTATGTGACTATTTCATAATAGTAGAAGGCCTTATTTGACCTTTTTCTCTACATTCAAAGTACACCGGTAGGCGTAACTCAACTGGCAGCGAGGGAGTGCCACAAGGGTTAGGTCCCGGGTTTGAATCCCGGCAACTGCGATGAGAGGTTACTACACTAAAAATGCATAGGGCCTCTGCAAGTACCGGGGACGGAGCCCCACTCTCTGTCTGTCAGATTGTGATTATAGTCCAATTTACATCTCCCGTCATGCCGCCCGGTCGGTGTTGGGGGCCCTCAGGCCTCAGGGATGGGGTGTCATCTTTTTTGTACATTCAAAGTACGTACAACTGTACAAGCTTTATCTATACATTATATTTTGCTATGTTTCACTCTACTGATTTGACTACAGGGAAAGAAAATGGCGCAATAGTACTGGAAATGAGGCATACAGATCACTTCTTCATGTCTTCTGGATCATTGATAAAGAATTGGGATCAATGGCAGCAGCAACTTATAAGAGATGATGAAATTCGGGTCGGGTCAATACAATCGTGGGTCAAGAGCGCAGAAGACTCAGCCCAATCTTTTACCCAGACCCAACCAATCACGTCCGGTCTCAAACTACAGACTCTAAACTACATTGTGACCATAACCATAGGCACCACGAACATGACAGTCATTGTAGACACCGGGAGTGATCTGACATGGGTTCAATGCCAGCCGTGCACCTCATGTTATACCCAACCACAACCTCTCTATAACCCTGAATCCTCACCTTCGTATCTTTCCGTTCCATGCAATGCCACAGCCTGTCATAATCTCTCAACCGGGAATTCAGGTCTTTGTAGGGGGAGCTCGAGTGTGTGCAACTACACGGTAAGCTATGGGGATGGGTCCTACACTAATGGGGAGCTAGGTAGGGACCGTTTAGTTCTCGGAAGCACTTCCATTGATGGATTTGTATTTGGGTGTGGGAAGAACAATAAAGGTCTGTTTGGTTCAGCCTCAGGCCTAATGGGGCTAGGAAGGAGTGACCTGTCTTTGATTTCTCAGACATCTGATGTTTTCGGGAGGGTTTTCTCGTACTGCTTGCCTTCTTCAACTGATTCTGAGAATTCCAAGGGCTCCTTGGTTTTCGGAGGCGATTCGCTGCTTTTCAAGAACTCTACACCCATCTCTTACGCTGCAATGGTTCAGAATCCACAGCTTTATAGCTTCTACATTCTCAACCATACAAGAACAAGTATAGGTGGGGTTTTGGTTCAAGATTCGAACAGAAGCCATATGATGATTCTCGATTCTGGGACAGTTATTACCAGACTTCCACCGTCTATCTACAAAGCTTTCAAGGCTGAATTCTTGAAACAGTTCTCAGGATACACTATAGTGACAGGCTACTCAATTCTAGACACCTGCTTTGATTTCTCAGCCTATGAGGAGGTGAATATTCCAACTGTCACACTTCAGTTTGAGGGTGGTGCTGAGCTCAGCGTGGACATCACTGGGATTTTCTACTTTGCTAAGAGTGACGCTTCTCAGGTGTGTTTGGCTATGGCAAGCCTCACTTATGAGGACGATATTGGGATTATCGGAAACTATCAGCAGAGGAACACCAGGGTCGTATACGACACGAATAATTCACGAGTGGGGTTTGCAAAAGAGGTTTGCAGTTTCGTGTAATTTGGCCAAGTTGGGAATTGACAGTGTGGCAACCTGAGCACAAGCCTTCAGAACACTACCACAGTAATTGGTGTAATATCTGCTAGTTTAATGTGCTAGGGGTTGCAGTATATATGTAATGCACGGAAGTTCTAAAAGCTAAGAATGTATCAATGTAGCACAATCAAGTGGGGATGGACTGGGCCCGGGCGATCCGACCCGGGACCCGGACCCGGGACCCGGACCCGGGACCCGGACCCGGGGTAGAACGTGTCGGGATTCGAGCTTGATTTTTTGGGACCAGCCCAGCCAGGGCCGATCCCGATCCGGGCGTAACCGCTACTTTTTCAAAAAAAAAAAATAGAGGGTGGGCCCGACCCGGGCCTGGTACTGTTTGGGCCCAGACTGAGACTGGTACCGGGCTTCACTTTTTCAGTACCACGACCCACTAGGCCCGGGCCCGGCCCGAGCCCGACCCTACAATCAAGTGTAATATTCATCTTGACGTGTATGGTGCACAGCTTTGGGATCAATCCAAGTAATTAATTGTATAATAACCTTTTCATGATTAGTCCTATAACAATTCAAAAATCAGAAAGTACAGAAATATGACAAGGCAAAAATACATGAAGAAACAGTGATGCAAATATAACTTTTAAACTTGGGTTTTTTACAAGAATATTACTAAAATAAAACTTACTTACATAAATATGACTATTCATTACTACAACGTAGTGTTATGGTAACTTAAGTTCAAAACTTGAACATGAATTACTATGATTTCATTACTACTCTAGTAACTAATCATATTTTTGTAAATCGTCTTTATTTTGGTCATATTTATGTAATTATTTCTTTAAACTTTGTGATTGACAAATATATGACTAGTTTTTTCAAACAACTAAACAAGTAAATGACCTATATCTATTCAAATTTCTTCACCCTTCAACATCAACCCAACTGCCCCCCACCCTCACCGGAGTCACCGCCCCCTGCCACCAATCATCTGTCCAGCTGCCTGCGCCCAGAAAAAATAACAGGAAATTTTCCAAAGGTCGTTGCAAGAAAAGTCACCAGAATTTGCCGCTGCCAGCACTGCTGGAAAAGTTTTCCGGGACTTTCCCACTAAATAGTTACGGGAATTTACTGTGAAGGTCATAGTGAAATGCGGAGCGTTGTCACTAACTGTGGTAACATGCCACGAACATGTTTAGTGATTTTAGTCAAATTTTTGGAATTTTTAAAAAGTAGTCACATTTTTGTCTATGAGTATTGTCCATGCAATAAACAATTTTTTTTCAACAGGCAATAATCAAACCAAATGGTGCAGAGACATAAAAGAGACTAGTAAAAATATGTTTGCATTATTCGGAAAAAATATATGTTGCACATTTTACATATTGTAAAGGCCATTCCTGCATGAAAATCAGACCCATTGATGAATAAGTGCTCTTTATGGGCATCTCAGTCCCGAACCTTTTTAGAAAGAATGTACTCGTAGAATAAAGGGGGGTTAAACTCTCCTGCTGAAAATGGTTGTATTTGCCACTCCATATTGTACAAAGACCAGAGAAAGCCACGCCCAGATTCAAGTATGAATGAGAGTAGATTTGTACAGGTGCCAGCTTTACCAGAAGATACTCCTGTGAATCTCTATAACTGTAAATTCTGGAGATGCTCCTTTTTTTCTATTTGTTTACACAGCACAAGAGTGGCAGTTGGATATAATAAAATACCCTTTTTAAGAAAAAGTAGATTAATGCCCCCTTCATCCAATCATTCTGTGAAGATCTGGTCAACAGTGTTGACAAGCGCCACCATTTCCCTACTATTATCAGCTTCTGTAAAATCTTCACCCTTCTTAGCCTTCAACATTTCAATCGGAAGGATAGACGTGTTCGGATCACTGCTTGGAACCAAAAATAGAAGTGCTACTGGCAGGACTCTCAGTAAACTTCTAATCACAATGACTATCCAGAGGTTGGCGAACTGTGTTCGCGAAACATTGAAGATGTGAAGTAAAAACCCACCTGCCCAAGAGGCTGAGAGCATCCCAGTGTGATCAATTGACATAAGCAGAGCGAAAAATGTTCCTTCTATGCCTGAGGGACAAAGCTTTGAGCTTAGCACGAGAAGTGGCATCCATTTGAGACGTGCAATCATATGAGTTATGGCTGCATCGCTCACGGCAACAAAGTAGTCTGGAATGCCAAAATTAAGATTTATTCGTGATACCAATATTAAATCCAGTAATCCTGAAGCCCCAAACAGCAACTGAGACCAGAAAAGTACACTACGGAAAGGGTGGTGTCTGAAGGCATTATGATATAGGAGAACCCCAAGAAGTGACCCAACTGCACCTACAGAGGATATGGACCCCACAACTTCCTGCACGAAGGGAAAACATTGACTAATGAATTACATAGTTGGTAAAGTAGTCCTGAAAAAAATCAGTAAACTTCAGACTCTTCTATGGCAATGTTATCGACTTCCTAGTATTTATAAAATAGAAATTAATAAATAAAATAAATTTCGAACAGATTTTAAAATAGGTTTATAGAGTTGATTAGTTGAATCAATGTTTAATTTTCCTCCACACTTTCTTTTCTTCCAAATACCTCCTATACTTTCCTCCCTATTTTTGTTTCTTAGGATATTCAGAGTTGCAAATGAACTCTGTATGAGTGAATGTAAAATGGAATTTAAAACCCAGAAACTAAGTTAGCAGCGAGAATTGACTCCTACAAGTTCAATAAATTATTCTTCAGAGAATTGAATGAGAATATCATGTACCTGAGAGAAGGATGGGCCATCCTTTGCATCAGTATACCAATAAAACATTCCCTCATGAATGTGCACACTCACTGCAAGAGAAATGTACATGTACAAGCATGGTCTCCAAACCGTCTTGCTTTTCAGTGCCATAACCATAGCCTTACCAGCATCAAAAAACTTATGGCTTACCTGTTTTTTATGAAGACTTTGAAAACTTAATTACTAAAGGTTTAAGAGTCATCTGTCTACTTAAAAAGGTTAGAAATATAATACTTACTCTTCTGTAGGTCCCGGTAGGCATATACTTTTCTCGTATCATGATTCCAACCAAAACAACTAGACAAGGTGGCACACTCAAAATTCCGAACACTCCCTGCCAGAGGTTAATAAAACACACTTGTCATGACTAGATAATTTAAACTAAAAAACTATGAGACATAGATTTTAAGCAAAAACATCCAGATTATTTTAATTAAAAAAATCAATTAAAAATACTCAGCAGTCAGCATAACCAACAAGAGACATAGTTTTATGTTCAACTAAACCTGCATGAGCAATAAGTTAGGTGGCTTATTGTCAGCACTATGGATATGCCATGTGGAGACTAATTCCAGAAGAGCAACTTACGGGATTGAATCCATCAATAGAGAAAATCAAGGCTGATTGATTGAAATTTCCAAGTATCATTACTTGGCTCCCAATTGCCATTACAGAGGTCTGATTTAAATTTGGATTATCTTTCAAAGATTTATTAGTTTGGTAATAATTACGTGGGATCTATTTGTATGGCAAAACTCTTAGTTTCGTTTTGAATTACATTCTTGGAAGTTTCCTGTTATACATCTCTTCTTCCTCCTCTCTGCTATGTGGGTCTCTGACTAGCCACCATAGGGAGGAGGAAAGCTCTTCCCTCCTCTTCTGTGATCTGCCACAGGACCGTAACACGTAGCATAACAATTAACAAGTCATGGTATGTTTGTGAATGAGACTTTAGAGGGAAAAGGAATGTAGTGTTGAAAACATGGGGAGTGTTGAATGTTAGTGGAGACTGGAGATGGAAAGTTAATGTTAGTTGGTCTTAGTTGCATAGCCCTAAGTCCATTTAGGTCAGTACAATTCAAGCTAACATCTGACACACTACAACTATTGGTGCCATTTAAACACTGTATCCTTCATTATAAGCATTAGAGTGAAGATGTGCACTTGTAGGCTACTATTCTGTTAGCTCTTTCAACAGGCAGGGCCTGAGGGCATTCTTTTTATTTTTTAGATTTACACATTTCAATGGCAATAAAAAATGGTTTGGACTGGGAGTTTATCTTAAATTTTAATCTAACTTACTCTGGCCCACTAAACTTTGCCAACTTTCCTGATTTAGTTGTCCCAAAAAACTTTGTTGTCTCCTTTTCGAGTGACAAATTTGTGATTGATGTTATTTCTCTCTGATCTGCACAAAACTCAACTACAAAACTTTTACTTTCTTATTCCACGTGCTAGTCAACCTTGGTCACGTTTTATGGGACGGAGCGAATGTATCTTTTGTTTTAAAAGATCAAGTTAAACCATCTTTTCTTAAAACGAAAACACCCCCCCAAACACCTCCTCCCAAATTTACCATAGAGATTCTATCTGAAGATATAAAAAAATACACAAACAATAGCATAAACCACGACTTGCATAGCCCTACATGCATTACATATATTTTCTAATGACACTTCAATTCGGACTTTATTAGTTTATATCTCAAAAGGAGAGAGATTAAACTATTCCACTTCTGGGACCCTTCCTGACTAAAAAGTCTTAGGTCGATCAGTAAGCAACCGCCTATAAATAGGATTAGCAAAAGAGCTTAGTGCACATAACCTTTGATCCAATTAGGTGAACTAAGAATCCACTTATCATATACCCAATCAGTTGTCCTACAGATGAGCTCCCTCCGCATAAGCTCTGCATGTCACCAGCCAGAGAGGGATGGCTTATACTGTTCTCTGTTACACAGGCATCAATTATCACATCCGCTATTGCAACCCCAGCACTGCCAGTCATTAAGCATAACAAAGCAAATTCGATCCTTAAGTTCTTGTTCATCGACAGAGTAAGCATACCAATGATGCCGAGCGAACCTAAGGATCAAAAGGAGGTTAATGAACAGAACAATATTTTACTCGTTATTTTGACAAGTTGAACTTTTTCCCCAATTCAGAGGATGAATAATGTTAATGATGGTGGTAGCATGAGTACTCCCCAAAGGGTGAATTGGTAGATGTCATTAGCAGTGACAGTTATAGTAAGTTGATGATCCGTTTACATGTAGGAATTGTACACTCGTTAACAGCTCAACACTTCAGTTTAGTTGGAACCCGTAATTAACAATTTCTAATAGTTAAGTCACTTAGTCACCTATTTTGTCTTTCAACAACTTGGCTCAATAAATTTGTACTTCACCTTGATAACCAGAGTAAGTGGGGTCCTAATGCTATACATATGCATAAAACCTCAGAAAATGAATGAGCAAACTCAGGAGGCTGGAATAATTAGTTACAGTCACTTTCTTGATGGCCTACATATTATTGGCTATCTTAATTTCTTCAGTGAAAATGACACTGAAAGCAGCTAAGCAATCATTTTGAGTTCTGATTTAATCACAGAAACTCATTTTAGGTTCCAACAGTGAACTCATTTAATGCAAATGGGTGAAAAATAAGAACAGTACTAAGTAGTAACAACAACCAGAAAAACAACAACAATAAGAATAAATTCGACTTTACTACTCACTATTTCATTCAAGTTTG